CATGATGGGCCATACCTGGGGTTTTCACATCAGGAACAACGTCAGGAGTACCGATGATGTTCTACCTAACCCTCGTACGGGCACTGACAGGCGCGTTAGTTCACCACGATATCCGCCAGGATGGAGTGGAACGCCATGACCGGGAGACGACGCATGTGCATGGCGCCAGTGACGAACAGGTCCATGACATGGAGCTGTCCCTGTTGACATCTACACGGTTAGTGGGACCCGCGTGAAGGAAAAGAAGAGCCCAGCGATCCTAGACAACTTCTCCTTCTCATTCTCCTCTTTTCCCTCGACTATAACCTATGCTTTCCCTTGGCCTATAAAAGGGAAAGCAGGGCGTCCCATGAAGAAGATTGGACCCGACTCCACTCGACCCTCAACTCAACTCGACTCGACGGACATCGAAACAGATCACACCAATTCGGACTCGAACCCCGAACCGATTAGAGCATACAAGCACACAGCAGAGAAGCGACCAAGCCCTCGGTGCCCATTCGCTCCTCTCATTAGAGACTTAGGACATGTCCCTCTCTCGACCGTTTGTAACCCCTACTACAACTTTTACTGCTAGTAACACGAGTAGCAGCAACGAACTGGACGTAGGGACATTCTGCCCGAAGCAGTATAAACCTTGTGTCATTTTAGCACACCATCCGGGTTAGAAGCGCAATATTAGAAATTTACTTGTTGGTGGCAACTCGAAAATAGACTTAGTAATTCTTTACTAAAAACAAGGGCCACACCTAAGAGGCCTCACCGATTAGTATGCATTTAAATGATGAAACAAATCTTATTAGAGTTCTGAATTGATGACTGGTTTTTTTATTTCTATCTGTTCAGAAGTAACATAAAAGGGGTTTCAAGGTTTGTGGTAAGACATCGGCACACAGATTGAATAATCTAATCCGATACGTGTGTATCCTCCTTTCTTTTTTAGCGTTACTATTCTTTATTTTGCTACCTGCGTTGACAGTTGATCTGATCAGACCATAGATTCCCTCTTGCAATTTGTTTTAAAGAGTTTCAAAGAGACCGCTGGTTTTGAGCCTTGAATTTTGTAGGTAGAGAGGCGGATTTGGGGCTGAGGACAAGACGCTAAACTCACCAATTGTGCATATAATGATAATTGAAAGCTGTGAAATTTGAGCACATAGTCCTCCCAAACATTCGCGGTGGGCCTATGGCCATGTATGAGTTGGTAGCCACGAAACCACTCCATAAACCAGATACCAAAAACAAAAGGACATATTAAACGGGATCGTGGAAATTTGGAGAGGCACGAGACAACAAAATTAGTTTAGAGGTTGGAGGGAGCCAATGCCGACTTGGCACCGAAGAGTTGTTTAGGACTGCTCCACAAACTCTACCATAGAGCAGCTCCATAAAAATCAGAGTTTGTGGAGCACCTACTGCTCTCACAACTCTACTATTTTTCCTCGAACATAATGCGTGGAGCTGAAAACCGTTTGACTTAAAAACGTGGAGCGAAGCTGAAAACGTGGAGCGAAGCAGTGCCACGCACCCATAAACACATTATACAGGAGCAATGTACTCCATTGTAACCGGATGCGAGGGCACCGCACAGCGAGACAGAGCGGGTCCCACTGGATCTCCAGATTCCGTAGCGGCCCTAGGATCCTGGCAACCACGGTCCACGGGATGGGAGATTCATTGCCAGCGGGCCCCAAACCCCTCCCCTAGTGATTTTTTTATTTTTAACACATTTTAAAACTATTTTTAAAACTGACATTATTTAATTTTTTTTTTCAAAACTAACACTTTTGGACGCGCCTGTTTGCACGGCGCAGCGAAACAACTATGCCGCGCCATGCATGGCGGCGCGGCAAGGGTGCGTACATGGCAACGTCCCGCCCCGCTGGTCGCTGATGTGGCAGGCCTTGCCGCGCCACCGATCAGGGCGCGGCTGTGACGCGCCACCCATCAGGGCGCGGCACAGCCAAATAGAGGCCCGAGGCCCAGTCCCTTTCCTCTCTCTCTGTTTCACTCCACGCCGCACAGCAGCTGCCTCCGTGCCGCCCAGCCCCCGCCGTCGCGTCTCCTAGCCCGCACCACCGCGCTATTGCCTCCCGGCTCCCCCACGGTCGGCCGCCGAATTTCCCTCCCTTGTCGTTCCCCTCTCTACCTTCCCCGAAGCTCCTCCTCGGCCTTATCAAGGTAATGAAGCTCCTCCTCGGCCTTCACGGTGGATCGAATGATTTGAATGAGTAGTTAGGGTATGGAGGAAAATATGAGTTTGTTAGAACGTTGGATTGAAGGATTAGGATTATGATTGTCAATGTTAAGGTTAATTGGTTAGTTAGAATTATGATTACTATGTATTCTAAGGTCACTTTTTATATGAATTTTGCTTGTTTGAGTTTGCATCTCAACTTTTATATGTGAATAAATATATGGACGCAATGTTGATGTACTAAATTTTATTTTTTACTGACCAAAGTATAGTTTTTATATAGTTTTCATGTTTGCATCTAAGATAGAGTTTGCACCAAAGTGTAGGTTATATTTTATTTGTTGTAATGTAAATGGTTCTCATTGACATTAATTTGTGATATTTTGATTTTTGTTTGTTAAATTACAACTGTTTTGTTAGATGCAAGAAATGTATCGGGAGGAGTTTTAGCGAAAACGGGGTCGTTCTCGAGAATTATACCCCGACGCATCTAGCAAAAATGCCCCCGTCCCTCCTAACATCCGTGACTGTGGTTTTCCGGCTAATATGTTTCAATCGAGACATCCAGACACAGCGACGCGTTGCTTCTACACATGCAGTCGTTTTAATGTAAGTAATTGTTTCTACTATCTTTTTTTCTTCATTCGTGTAAGTAGACAACTAATATTTTGTTGGAATCTTGTTGTGTAGGCCCATAAGAGGTGCTTTTTCTTTCATTGGATCGACGGTGCAGACAAGTTTGACCCTAGATACCTCCTTTCCGATGATTGGTGTAGACGGAGACATCCACGTGAGCATACTGCTGGCATAATGCTACGCTTCGCTAATTCTGCCCCATGAATCATAGGGGGTATCATCTGCTGGTAAATCTGTGACTAGTCTACCCTGAGCCTGGATAGCATGCAAAACCTCAGTTGATACTGGTAATGGCATACCATGAATAGGTACTGGCATGGCATCAACCGGTGTGGGCATAGCATGTCTATCTCCCTGGTCATCATCTGAATCGTTCGAATCACTGTTAACTACATCACCAATCCTGTCCTCCTCCTGCTCCTCCTCTTCCAGTTCGAATTTGTTCACATCTAAGTCATTGCTTATACAGCCTACTTGACTTGAATGAAACTGCTCCTACGTCAACTGACTGTCCAAATCCATGTTACACTGAGTTGCTTCCCCTTCGACCCCCAATTCTTACTCATTGCCTCCAACACCGTCAATGGACGGCCCGTCCAGGACACCCTACATCCTGTACCCATTCTCCACCACCACCTCAGCCATGGGCACATTGGAACCTTGGAGCACCCTATTGTAGCGGGACCAGTGAGCAGGGTCGCGCAAGGGCATCAGGACATAGTGTGCCCTAGTCTTTCCAATATCAAACCTCCCCTTCAGTGTGAAATCACCGCCAAACTTTGCATTCAAACGGACACAAAGGTCGTTGAAGCTAGGAGGTTCATCAAACTATTCCAATTCTTCTTCCATATCCTCAAACAAACAATCTTCTCTCATAACACTTCCTCCGTAAAAAACTGTAACACAACAATCCATCTAAAAAATCATTTCAAGAAACTTCATCAAGTCGTCGAAATCGTCGTACATACTGTCCATAGTAATATTACTACCTATTCTAACTATAACTATACTAACTAATCTAATATTAACACCTATACAAGACTAACTACAACAACTAATTATACAAAATACAATAACTAACTAGACTCACTAACTGTACTAACTAACTTTACTAACTATACTAACTTACTATATTACCTATACTAACTAAACTAACTATATTTTACTAACTATACTAACTTTACTTATTGTACGAACTTACTATACTAACTATACTGACTAATCATTCAAACTAATTTTGCATCTTAACCCTAAGTAAAAACAATGTCGATTCAATCAACAAATACACAAGGGGAGTACCTCATGGCAAAATAGCGTGCTCTAAATCCGCAATGGCAGCGTTAGACCGAAGCCAGAGGCGGGTGGTCCTGTGGGGAGGCACAGGCGTTGGCCTCGGGCGGCGGCGGGTGGATGCGGATAGAGGAGGGCGGGCGGCGGGCGGCGTGTGGTAAGGAGGAGGTGTGTATGCGGGCGGCGTGGCGTGGGCGCGGCCAACATGGTGGGTGGGGCGTGCGGCGGGCGGCGGCGGGCGGCCGCGGCGCGTGGCGTGTGGCGGTGAGTGGTGGTGGCGCGGTGGGCGGGCGGGGCGGCGACAGCTCGCTTCAAACGGGCCGAGTGAGAGAGAGAAAAGGAAGCGAGGTGGCCGCAGAGCACTGTACAAAGGCTGCGCGCCGTGATGCGTGGCGTGGCAGTCCCGACGCGCCGTGATCGTGGCGCGACAAAGCTGGGCCACGTCACGGTCGGGACGTTCGTCGGCGCCACGTTATAGCCTCGTCGGCGCCCCTATGCGTGGTGGCAGCTTGAATTCGCCGCGCCATGCGCGAATAGGCGTGGTCAAAAGTGTTAGATTTGAAAAATAAAATAAACCATGATAGTTTTAAAATAGTTTAAATAAAGTGTTAAAAAATTCCCCTGGCTTCCCATCTCACAAAATAGAAGCCGATCTGTTTGTTTGCCCGAATCAAAACTGCAATGTGCTCGGCATCTCTTCTCCCGGCCGCCCCTGCCCGCGCCCACCCACCCACCTCCTATAAATCCGATCGACGCCGCTGCCTGTTCCTCCCCCATCCTGACATCCCACGCCACACCCTCCCAATCCCATCGCGTCTCCATACCTCTCTTATTACGCCACGCCGGAGGGACAGAGAGCGAGCGAACTCAAGCTAAGATGTCGACGTGCGCGGCGGACCTGGCGCCGCTGCTGGGCCCGGCGGCGGCGAACGCCACGGACTACCTCTGCGGCCAGTTCGCGGACACGGCGTCCGCGGTGGACGCCACGTACCTGCTCTTCTCGGCCTACCTCGTCTTCGCCATGCAGCTCGGCTTCGCCATGCTCTGCGCCGGCTCCGTCCGCGCCAAGAACACCATGAACATCATGCTCACCAACGTGCTCGACGCCGCCGCCGGGGCGCTCTTCTACTACCTCTTCGGCTTCGCCTTCGCCTTCGGCACGCCCTCCAACGGCTTCATCGGGAAGCAGTTCTTCGGGCTCCAGCAGCTGCCCAAGACCGGCTTCGACTACGACTTCTTCCTCTACCAGTGGGCCTTCGCCATCGCCGCCGCGGCAGGCATCACGTCGGCTCCATCGCCGAGAGAACCCAGTTCGTCGCCTACCTCATCTACTCCGCGTTCCTCACGGGGTTCGTCTACCCGTGGTGTCCCACTGGTTCTGGTCCACCGACGGCTGGGCCGCCGCCAGCCGCACCTCCGGCCCGCTGCTGTTCGGGTCCGGCGTCATCGACTTCGCGGGCTCCGGCGTCGTCCACATGGTCGGCGGCATCGCGGGGCTCTGGGGCGCGCTCATCGAGGGCCCCGCATCGGGCGCTTCGACCACGCCGGCCGCTCCGTGGCGCTCAAGGGCCACAGCGCGTCGCTCGTGGTGCTCGGCACCTTCCTGCTGTGGTTCGGCTGGTACGGGTTCAACCCCGGGTCCTTCACCACCATCCTCAAGTCCTACGGCCCCGCGGGGACCGTCCACGGGCAGTGGTCGGCCGTGGGCCGCACCGCCGTCACCACCACCCTCGCCGGCAGCGTCGCCGCGCTCACCACGCTGTTCGGGAAGCGGCTCCAGACGGACCACTGGAACGTGGTGGACGTCTGCAACGGCCTCCTGGGCGGGTTCGCGGCCATCACGGCCGGGTGCAGCGTGGTGGAGCCGTGGGCGGCCGTCATCTGCGGCTTCGTGTCCGCGTGGGTGCTCATCGGCGCCAACGCGCTCGCCGCGCGCCTCAAGTTCGACGACCCGCTGGAGGCGGCGCAGCTGCACGGCGGGTGCGGCGCCTGGGGCGTCCTCTTCACGGGGCTCTTCGCGAGGCAAAAGTACGTGGAGGAGATCTACGGCGCCGGGAGGCCCTACGGGCTGTTCATGGGCGGCGGCGGGAAGCTCCTCGCCGCGCAGATCATCCAGATCCTGGTGATCGCCGGGTGGGTGAGCTGCACCATGGGCCCGCTCTTCTACGCGCTCAAGAAGCTGGACCTGCTGCGCATCTCGGCCGACGACGAGATGTCGGGCATGGACCTCACCCGGCACGGCGGCTTCGCTTACGTCTACCACGACGAGGACCCCGGCGACAAGGCCGGGGTTGGTGGGTTCATGCTCAAGTCCGCGCAGCACCGTGTCGAGCCGGCGGCGGCGGCGGCGGCGGCGGCGGCGACCAACTACCAGGTGTAAAAATCAGGAGCAAATTAAAACCGAGCTGAAGTTACGTGCTTGCCTTTTTCAGTGTGTCATCGCGTATCATATTTGGTCTCTATCGTATCTGCCGGTACTGTTTGAGCGATACTTCGCCACTTCGGAGTCGCAAGAATTTGTGTGTAAACTATAGAAGAGTATGGCGACGAAGCACGCACATGTGTCGTGTGTGTGTTTAAGTGTTTTGTTTGGGTTTTTGTGTACATGCGTGTTTTACAGTCCGGATATGGTGGTGGTTAGGGGCTAGGGTTTATCTTTGGCTAATAATGCAGTTATTTTTGTGGTGGGATCTTATGATCAGAATTCGATCGGAAGGTGTGAAGGGCTGCTGCCTGCTGGTCAAGATAGGTGGCTTCTATTCTGGCCCTGTTTGTTTCTCGCTTCTCCCCAGACACGCTTGGATTATAATCTAGCGAAGATTTTCTCGCTTCTCACTTTTCGCTTCTCGTAGTTCAAATCTCTGAAGCGGCTTACCACATAAGCGAGAATCGGTGGAAATAAGCAAAGCGTTTGACAGGATTCTCGCTTATTTCCACTTATAAGCCGCTTATAAGCGGAAACAAACAGGGCCTCTATGAGGTTTGAAACAGTTGGACGATTCTGTCATGTGGTCTCTGCCCGTCCATCAAAAACTTTTTGCTTGTTCTTTCAACTAGCTGAGTGTCCGTGCGCGTTGATACGGGCATACAAAAAATTCGATGACATACAGACGCATGCGGGTAGAACATACGTAAGAGTTTATGTCCTCACAAAAAATTAGCTCCAAAACACAAATGTAAGATATATATATAACATCAAAATCAATAATATCCCCACAAGCTATCATATACTACTTGTCTCCTATTGTTCTCATACTTTTTCTATTACCTGAAATGCAGATAGATACGACAAATATAAATTGCAAAAGACTCAAATGTAAGATATATATAATACTTATACAAAACTGGAGACAATATCTTTCTATGGTGTTAGGACCTCTTTGTAGACAATATTTTTTGGTGTATGTACCATTAATTGTTGCCTTCCTTTTGTTATTCTTATCACCAGATGGGACAATAAGGATCCTAATGTTCGATCTGGCAGTGGCTCTAGATAACGCAACATACAACTAACCATGAGAGAACATTGGTTCAGGCAAATAGACACCAACATTCAGGATAGTCTTCCCTTGCGCCTTGTTAACCGTCATGGCAAAACGGAACCTAACGGGAAACTGCTTCATCTTGAACTAGAATGGGAACATCTCATCATCAGAGGGGTATAATGGAATCCGTGGTAGGAAGATTCGTTTCCCAACATGGTCCCCCACCACAATTTCTGTATTGATGGTATTTCATTGGTACCCCCGGACCACCAGCCTCGTTCCATTGCAAAGTCCATTTGCAGGGTCGATATTCCTTAACAATATGATCGGGCACCCAATCTTGAGCTTTAACACGTGTGGAGGGAGACCGCTAGGGGTTAAAGTGTTAAGGAACTCGAAAGGGTAGTAGTTATGCGGGTCATCCATTGCAGAGTCAAAGCTATGGTACATGATCTCCTCACCTTGGAAACGATCTATCATCTTCATATTAATCATGTCCACCTAGTCGTTTCTCTCGAAGTGACGTAGTTTCGATTCGACAAATTTTCATTGAGGCTCGAGAAAATGTAGTCTATTAATGTATCAAGTTCATTGCCATTCCCCGTATATGGCACGCAGATCTCGTCAGGAAGACAGACATCGCCATCACCATTAACCTCCTCGGTACCACAACCGATGCGCAACAGATACTCAACAAAACCTAGGTCACTCTGTGCCCTCATGTTACACACCAGCTTTAAGTGATGCATGGAATCCCAAAGGTATGACCTTCGTAGTGACGCACCAGCTTTAAGTGATGCATGAAATTCCACAGACTCAAAGCTACATGAGGAAATTCATTTGGGATTTCAGATATGAATTCCATTTTCAATAAAAGAGTGATTACATCACATCCAAATCCACGATGGTCCATCAGCCATCAGCAGGCCTCGATCTTACTATTTAATTAATAGTTGTGGTCTCCTTGATAACATTTTTTCTTAGTTGGAGCAGAACTGACTGAACAACGATAGAACAGAATGGGATTCAGGAAGAAAGGACAGGGCACGCAAGAAAAGAATCAAAGATTAGGATGAACCTCGGTGCCTGCGCGTGGCGTCCACCGCTCATCGGCACCCGCGCTGCCGCCACCGCTTGGCCCACGGGATGCCTTTGCCGCTCCCCAGCCCTTGCGATGTTGCTGCAGCAGCTATCGTGTTGCCTGCGACAGTCCTAACTCGATGATGATGACGCTCCTAACGTGTGGACGCACTAGGACGGCACGCTCGTGGACTCGCCGTCCTTGAACTCCGCCAGCAGATGGCGCACTTTCTCTTGGCCGCCGCCCTCGCCTCCTCAACTCCACATCCCTTTGATCCGTGGGGCGAGCCTAAGGGTGGGCGTGAGCGGGCGATCTGGTCGAGAGCGCCGGTGGTCTTGGCGATCTGGCCGGGCGATTTTTTTAATTTTAACACTTGTTGAAAACTAATTTTGAATCTAACACTGCTTTTTTAATTAACACTTTTGGCCACGCCTATTGCCATGGCGCGGCCAAATGCCTATGCCGCGCCATGCATGGTGGCGCGGCAGGGAGCTGACATGGTGATAACTGGTATCGTTGACCGGTGACATGATAGGGCCTGTCGCCCCACCATGCATGGCGTGGCGGTACCTGGACGGTTTAATCGGAACTTTCCACGCCGATAGTGGGAGTTACTCTAGGTATTGCTTGACGTAAAACCAATAGTGTCTTTTGTTTAATCATTTTCATGGCTGAATAGAGAATTTGATAAGCCAGTGATTTTTTTCATAATACGGTTAACCACCATGTTAACTAATCGACTACGAAAAATTGGATCGGATTGAAACGAATATTTTTTAAGGGAAAAAACTTATTTTTTTGGCCCCATATTGTAGGATCGGTAGCGACGCTACCATGGACCCTGGCGTCGAGATACCCCGGAACTGTCGGTTTCCAAACTAGTTGCTACTTAATCTCGCTTGCAGTGATGCCGCAACGCATTGAAACGAATATGAAGCAAATAAATGAAGTCCATGCGCAAGTTGACAAGCTGTCACATAATATTTTCATTGGTTTGACATAAGTTCGACATAACATAACCAACTAAGCCTGCAAGTTTCAGACGTCAATATTAGTTCGACCTAACAAACTAAGACCCAGGAGTGTAAGGATCCCTCGGACGCCTCTGTCTCTTCGGATTTGTTGGCAACACATTGGGAGTGTAGCCAACGTCGGTGTGGTCGCGTCGCCGGTGCGTACGGCTCGTACCCTGCAAGTATATGGTATGCACGATTACTTAGAATTCTTTATGATCGTTAGTTCATGTAGCCTACGTATTTAAAGAAACTACCTTTCTTAGTACCTATGAGGCTCCTTGGGTACCAAGCAGGGCACCACCTAGCTGAGACATGCCGATCTCGTCCTGCGGCCAATCGTCCCACTGGTCGTGCTGTCTACGGAAGCCCGGGGGGTCATCGTCGTCGTCATCGTCGTCCTCGGTTGCAGGGTCCTTCCCAGCGCTATGATGTGGTGGTGTACGCACCATGAAGTGGCACTTATTACCGATTGAGAACATTTGGTGGTGTCCTCAAAGAGGTCAAGGCGTGCCACCCGACCTGGCGGGAGTGGCGGTTCCTCATAAGGAGTGTCCATGCAGCTCGACTTTTGAGCTAGCTTTCTGCAGCTCTTCTTCATCAGAACATCCGGCCTAGGGCTTAAGAGGATTAATAGGATACTCATATCAACAAGTTGCAACTTTTTTTTCCGAAGCCCATCTCTTAAGAACTCCAAGGTTAAGCGTGCTTGGCTTTGGAAGCGATGGTGACCGAACGGGAAGTCCTTCCCAAAGCGCATGAGTGAGGACAAAGTGCACAGAAAAGACTTGTGAGGGTCTGTGAGGGCAGTCTATATCCTAGAAAAGCTGCCAGATGTAAGCGGACCCGGCCTTGTGGAGGCGGGACGTTACCGAATGGTATCAGAGCCGACTCTCGCGGTTTCACGGGCGCGTGTGTCGCAGTTGCGCAGGCATGGTGCGCATGGCTGGTGTGGACCCAGAGTGGTCACCCAGCATGGCAAATGCGCTGGCACTGGACACACGGACGTGGCCAAGAGGGGACGTTCCTGGCTTGGGATTGACCGACGAGGACGTCAGTCTCTTAAGGGGGTGAGGATGTAACATCCCGGCCCAGGGCTTAAGAGGATTAATAGGATACTCATATCAACAAGTTGTAACTTCTTTTCCAGAAGCTCATCTCTTAAGAACTCCAAGGTTAAGCGTGCTTGGCCTGAAGCGATGGGTGACCGACCGAGAAGTCCTTCCCGGGTGCGCATGAGTGAGGACAAAGTGCACAGAAAAGACTTGTGAGGGAGAAAAGCTGCCAGATGTAAGCGGACCTGGCCTTGTGGAGGCGGGACGTTACATTCACCTTCTGCATAAATAGACGTTAAAGTTAGTGCATTTCCCAAACGTATATACACTAAAGAAATATTTTCAGAACGGACCAGTTTATGTTTACCTCCACAAAAGCCTCAAGAACGCCTGGCCCTGCCCTCTAGACTCGTGAAGCCGGAACGCTGCTTTGTTGGACAGCCTCGATAATTGTGTCGCCTAGGTATAGAAACACGGTTAAACAGTTTTAGTATACATACTTAATACCAAATGGATAACAAATTGTACCATTCAAGTATCTTACCACGTATCTTTGTAGCGGGGCTCTCTATAACTGTGTGTCCTCTCTAGTGGCAACGTCGTACACATCTTTGATCACATCTTCCTCCGAGTCCTCGTCAATCGCCTCCTCAGTGTATGGGTGTCCTCGTAAACCTGTGAAGCCTGCGTAGATACTCGTCGAAGGTGTGTTGGTCGTGTGGAGGACCTACATGGACCGACTGCCG